TGGGTGTCAAAGAGCATCACTGTAACACCCATCATCCACACACTGACAATACAAATAATTAACATTGACTGAACATTCTTTTAAAAACCCTCATTGGGTGTCTTTCATACTACCCAACTGTGGCACTTTCATACAACTTTGATTTTAATTTAATTTGTTTTCATTAAACAACCACCATGGAGGGAATTTTCACTGTAACTATAGCATGTGAGGGAGCTTAATATTTTCCTCCATAGTCCTCAGCACATTGAAAAAGATACATGCACACAGACACACAGAAGAACAACTAGTATTTTTAAAAGCTAAAATCTTCCCTGCCTGGCATTTTATTTTTCAAAAACCTTGATGTGGTTGCTAATTGTGCCAGGAAGGTACCAAAATCACAATTAAAGGAGTCTAGCGCTGCTTCCACACTGCAGAATCAATGCACTTTGATACTGCTTTAACTGTTGTGGCTCCATCCTATGGAATCCTGGGATTTGTAGTTTGTTGTGGCACCAGAGCTCTCTGACAGAGAAGGCTAAATATCTCACATAACTACAAATTCCAGAATTCCATAGCATTGAGTCATGGCAATTAACGCAGTGTCAAACTGCATTAATTCTGCAGTGTAGAGGAGCCTAAAACTAACTTATTTTTGATGTGTAAGGATATCTGGGAGTAACAAGAAATAATTTCCACTCCCATAGATTGCACTTCATTGTACCTACCATGTGAGGTAAGTTACCTCTGTACAAACTTACCCTGGTGATGATAATTTCCAGACAAGTTTTAAAAATCCTGAAGTTGGCTTCAGTGACACTGTGGGAAGCATCCACAAGCAAGTAGATGTAGAGGAAACTGTCTTTGGACAATATAAGCCTTCGTCCTAAATTTGAAGCTAATATAGAAATAAAGAAAAGTAATATTCTAGGGCAGAATGTGAAAGGCGATGCTGTTGGAGTAGCCCCAAACTAGATGTCTGCCCTCAACAAAGACAAAACAAAACTGTTGCCGCAACCGACTCAATTACTGCTGCACACAAAATGGCCTCTCCAAACCGTCCAGCCTCTTTATGAACAGAGATACTGCTGGCGAGGAGTACATTTCTCCTAATTTCTCTTGGGGAAAAGAAATTCTCCAATATTTTCTCAGGTGTGGAGGTCATGGCCATAACTAACCCACAGCCATGGTGTTTTGGTGCCATTTCAACCCAGCTATGAGTCCTCCACAATTCCCCTATCAGATCTCGCTTCAGTCTAAGGCATTGTAGGAGTCAGAAAATGCCACATCAGTTGTTGGGAAATACAAATGAGAAGATGTAGCTGCTGTTATATCCTGTTGGTTAGCTTCCTAAGGGCTTGTCTACATCGGATATTAATTCTGATTTCCCTCTGGGCTCGCTGATTCCTAGTTACATGATGGAGGGCCAAAACCCTAAATCAGGTGCAGACTGTATTTGCAACATCCGTACCCGATTCAACCTTTCCTCCTCTTAAACCAAATTTAAAAACCTTATATTTTGCTCCTGGTTTTTGGCTCTCTCTGTAATGGCAGTGGGCAGCTGCCTTCCCACTTGGTCCCTGCAAGCTGCCTGGCGGTGGCATCTTGGGTGCGAGTCACTCTGACATCAAGACGCCCAGATTCAGTAACATGGCTGGGCACCTCATTGTGTCCTAAGTGCCGGTGCCAGGCAGCAAACAGGGATTGCATTGGAAGACAGTTGCCTGTCATCACTGCAGAAAGAGCACAGGTAATGAGGAGAGATTCAGGGGTAATCTGGAGGCAGAATACTCCAGGGGCAGCCCAGAGTATTCTGGCTAGTGAAGACAAGCCCCAAGAGGTACATCTACTAAGCCACTGGATGAACAAGATGCTGAATGCAACAGACACATATACAGTACACACAAAGAAACCTTTGGTATTGCATGTAGTTTGACAACGAGTATAGGCTTGGTGGTGTAAGCTCTGGGACAAATTCAAATTATGACCTGTTGCTTCCTGTCCTGGTAAAAACTAAAACAGGCCTTGTGAACCTGTTCCTCCAACATATGCTGCCATGTTGGTGATCACACAAAGATGCTCTTTGTTGTTTGTTGTTGTGTGACTTCAAGTCGTTTCTGACTTATGGCGACCCTATCCTGGGGTTTTCTTGGCAAGATTCTAATTATCAATTATTAATATCATTATTAATATGAACAATTAATTATTAATAATTATTCTAATTGTGCTCTGTGCTGCAGCTTGGACTACTATACCCATGCATTCAAGACACACCAGAAATTATGAGATTCACTTCCAGTGGCCATTGTTCACCAATGTTGGCCAATTTTGCTTCTTTTTGAAGGACTTCTGCACTGTGAGTTAAATTGCCAAGTGTTCAGGTGGTTTGGGAATATTTTAATAATAATAATAATAATAATAATAATAATAATAATAATACTTTTTATTTATAACCCGCCCCTCTGCTCGGCAATCGGGGTGGCGTACAACAGATTAAAAATACAACAAATAAAAACAATTCCTGCCTCCCACCTCTTACCCACCCACCCCTTAAAACAGAATTAAACAATCATAAAGTTAAAAACAAGCTGAGCTAAAATACAAAGCAGCAGGTCACCTACACAATATCAAAATTTCAATATTACAATATTTCAAGATTTCAAGATTTTGGGCCCAAACATTATCTGAAAAGAGGCTCAGAGGGCAATGGGGGTCTCCAAGCTGAGAGACCTCACTTTCTTTACCCACAGTCTACACATAAACCCACACTTGGACTAAATTTGGAGAGAGTACACTACTTAGACCCACGTTGAGGTGTCCCAGAAGGGTCAGGTCCAGAGGATGATACTTCACTCAGAACATCAGTTAAGGAGGCTCCAA